CTCATTTTCTACAAATTAGGAGACAGATGAACATTTGAGGTGTTCAGTCTGAGGCAGGTGTGTAGAGGACGTTGATCATTCTGCTCTAATGTCGATGCCTCTCTGGCAGCCAGCGACTGATTTGACGACTGATCACTGTATGACACGATTCACCCACTTGCTGAGTTCTGCTATTCGTTCAGAAACTCCCTGGTTGTGAAACTGACTTCACTGGACATCTAGCATTCCTAGCGTAGCAAGTAGCATGCCTAAGCTAGTCACTACCATCCCTAAACTAGCCAACAGCATTTCTAGACTATCCAACAGCATGTCTATTGCGAGCAACTGGCACTCCTATGCTCACCACTAGCACTAGCCACTAGCTAGGCAATAGCATTTCTAGGCTAGCCACCAGCCACCTGTACTAGCCACCAGCAAGCCTAAGATAGTTAAGCTAGCCAATAACAGTTCTCAATTAGTAAAAAGCCACTGGCATCGCCAGGCAAGTCATTAGCATCCCAAGGTTAGCTGGTTACAAGCAGTCCTTAGCTATTCCCTAACATCCCAAAAGGGACCAATAGCTTTTGGTCTTGTCATGCCCTCCACCTCTGGCTCCCTCTAGCGGCAGGATTTCACCCTCCTCCTTTCTCCAGACGGTGTGTGCATGCCGGTGGAGGGCAGGTGCAACTCATCTGCAATCACAGTTCATTTCCAGCTGCAGCGGGGAGTGGTCTCCTCATTCTTCAATCCTGCTCTTCACATAAAAAGCACAAGCAGACCACAACTTGACGCCAGTCCGTAAACTACTTCCATTCTGACCCGCTCCGCTGCCTGAAGACCCCACCAGCTGTTTCTCATCCGATTCTGTCTTTCCAGTCATCTCATCTGGATTTTCTACTTGCATCTCCCGCCACCAAAACGCCAACCTGGGCCAGCTTCTGTCTGGAACATGCCACACTGCCACACCACAGATCCCTGGAACCAGTGGATGGTGGATGGATTAGTATTCCTTAGTTAGCCACAAGCATTCCGAGTCTAGCGGCTACCATACCTATAAGTAAGTCACCAGCAATCCTTTGCTATTCACGACCATTTCGAACCAAGTTATTAGTATTACTTGCCCGTTGACTAGCATCGCTAATGTAGGCAATATTTTTTCTAGGCTAGACTACTAGCATTTCTAAACTAGTTAACGAACCTTTCTTTGTCATTCTGAAGCGATACTAAAGAGTTTCGACGAGCATTGTTTGGCTTGTCACCAGAATCCCTAAGGTAGTGATTTGCATTTACAGGCTCATTACCAGTATCTCTTGTGTCGTGACTAACATTGCTAGCCTGAGCATTAGCATCCTTATGCTATTTATTAGCATCCATACACTAACATCCATAGTGTATTGACTAAAATCTGCAAGCTTGTCACCAGTATCCCTAAGCTAGTGATTAGCAGCCCTACACTAGCTCCTAGAATCCCTCAGGCAGTGACTAGCATTGCTAGGCTAGCAACCATGATTTATAGTTAGAATGTTGAAAAGTCACGTGTCATACAGCTGTCAGTGGCTACAAAACAGCACAAGTGAGTGCAGCAGGACAACATGAGTCGGCCTCCCATAAGTTACTCAGTGTGTCTTTGGTAGGACTGTTCTGTCTCTGATCACTCTGATCATCAATACTCAGATTTTATTAAATAATATTCCTTATAGCCCCCTGTGTTTTTGTATAACTGACACATAACTACATTTTCGTGATAACATGTCACTTATTTATCTGTGTGTTAAGTCCTACTTGGGGTGTTTTTTGTAGACCGCCCCATCCACCCCCACCGTGGTCTTGAGACGGTCCAACCCACGGTTGACACGGATACGGTTGGCGATGGTTGCCAGGGCAGCAGCACAGAGACGGGCAGAGCGTGAGGAGATGGTATCACAGACTAGACGCACCACACAGGCGTCGACCGGATCCCAATTCAGACCCAACGCCGTCAGAATCTTCTGGGCGTTTTCCAGACCGCTGTCTGGCCTGAACCACGAGGAACATGGAGGAAAAACTTAGTCATCACTAAGACTTCTGGTCAAATAATTAGAATTAACAGTGACACAAGACAAGGCCACTCACTCTTCGATCTCAGAGATAAACTTTGTCTTAAATTGTCCCGGAGTCATGAGCGCCTCGGACGTTTGTCCTTTAAACAGCAGGTTGTCCTCCGTCAGCTTCACCAGCACCAGCCGAACAATTTCCCCCAGATACATACCGCTGATCATTTTCTCAAAACTGCAGAAGGAGACAAATGTTAAGGACAGAACAGATGAAAAATTATCCAGAACACAGTAACTGGCATCTTGAGGAGTCATGAGCATTCCCATCGATAGTCATCAGCATCGCTACAGTAGACACTTACATTTCTAGCATACGGACCAGCTAGGACTTTCTAGGCTATCCACTAGCCGCCCTAGGCTAGCAACTAGCTTTCCCAGTCTCAAATCCCTAAGCTATCAACTAGCTTTTCTAGGCTACTGACTAGCAATGGTACATAGTCACTAGCATTCCCCTTGGTCATTACAAGCACTCCTAGGGTAGTCCCTGGCATGTCCGTTGGATTTCCCATCACTAGCATTGCTAGGTGTTGAGGTTAATTGGTGATTCTAAATTGTCTGTAGGTGCGAATGTGGGTGTGCTTGGTTGTCTGTCTCGAAGTGTAGCCCTGCGATAGACTGGTGACCTGTCCAGGGTGTCTCCTGCCTTCACCCTGGGATAGACTCCAGCCCCCTGGCAAACCCAGTGAGGATTAAGCAGTGTATAGATAATGGATGGATGGATGGATGTTTTTGGACTGTAGGAGGAAGGTGGAGAACCTGGAGAGAACCCTCGCTGCACAAGGAGAACATACAAACTCCACGCAAAAAGATTCTGAGTGTCCTCACCGGGATACGAACCAGCAACCTTCTTGCTGTGAGGCAATGGTGATAACCACCTTGTAGCCCTAGTCAGTAGAATTCCTTAGCCATTCTCTATAATCTCTAAACTAACCAAAGCATCTCTAGACTAGTCCCTACCATACCTAGTCTAGAATCTAGAACCCCTGTACTAGGATGCACTAGCCTTCCTAGTTTGGAATGTGATCCTTATTCTAGTCACGAGTGTTCCTTCACTTAACACTATCCCGAAGCTAACCAAGGAGCATTTCCAGCCCATCCACCAGCATCCCAAGTTTTTTCACTAGCATCCCCAGACGAGCCACTAGCATCCCTTTGATCATCCTACGTACATGTAGTGGCCGTGGTTGATGGACTTCTGGTCCACCAACCTGTCGAAATCAGTCAGGATGTTTATTTTTTTATCTCCCAGGGAGCCGTCATTTCCAAAGCCGCCCCACTCTGTGTTGATGCACATCCGGCCGTCCTCGCCCTCCACTCGCTTCACGTTCTTCATCTCCTCCATGTAGCAGGCGTTGGTTCCCGTCCCTGCAGAGGAAGAGGAGCAGCTTAAATAAACCTATAGGTGGACGGTTGTTTAGGCCGTTTGCATTTGTTTGTGGTCATTTTCTGCCTCTTTTCGGTCATTTTGTGTCCCTTTGTGGTTGTGTTGTCTTTTTTGTCAATTTGCGTCTCTTTGCGGTGGTTTTGCATCTATTTTCTTTCATTTTGTGTCTGTTTGTGGTTGTTTTATGTTTGTTGGCCGATACTTTGTGTCTCTCTGTGGTCGTTTGGTGACTTTTTTGTTCATTTGTGTTGGTTTGTGGTGGTTTTGTGTCTCTTTTAGGTCATCTTTTGTCTCTTTGTGGTGGTTTTACGTCATTTTGCGTCTCTCTACAGTGTCACATGAGGTCGATTTAAGTGTCTTTGTTGTCGGCTTTACTTAAACCCATAAAACAAATGCAAATATCTTCTTCACATCCGGACACACAGAAACAGTCGGGCTGAAGTCAGGCCTCGTGCATTCAGATGTGTGGTTACCGATGATCATGCCGATCTCACAGCTCTGGTCCCTGTAGCCACAGCTCATCATCGTGCCCACCGTGTCGTTTGCCATGGCAACCGAGCTGATACCATAGTCCTGCAGCGAAGAAGAAACACACAGACAGGTGTGTTTACGTCTTTCCTATTTATAATGCCTAATAACCTGCCTACACACACATTATGTCGCATCGCAAAGCGTCGGAGAGCCTTTAATCGGCCGCATTCAGACAACAGAGAGCAGAGAAACGGAGCCTGTAAAGGATTAAATATGACAGTTTCTAGTGTTTTTATAGAAACACTGACCCCTCTCCTGTGAATGGCCTCTTTCAGAAGCCTCACCACATCTTGTCCCACCACACCGGAGCAATTGAAGCCTTTGGTCCAGCTGATCAGGATGCTCTGTGCAGTCAAAAATAAATAAAATGAAATGTCGCGCAGCACAATCAGTGTGAAGATGATGTTGCCGTGCCCTCACAGCTGCTTTAATTCTGCAGCGAGATGTTCGACTTGTGTTGAGATTCAAACCTGAAAACAAACTGATAGAGTGATACTCTGAAGCACTTCTGTTCTGTTTTGTCTCTTTGTGGTCCAATTCTTTCTCTTTTGTTGGTGTGAGTCTGTCTGTGGTCACTTTGTGTCTTATTCTAGTAATTTTTTTCCCCTATTATGGTCATTTCACGTCTCTTTGTAAGTGTTGTGCCTCATTTTTTGGTATTCTTGCATGTTTTTGTCTCCTTGTTGTCGTATTGTGTGACTTGCATTTCCATGTGGCCATTTTGCATCTTTTTGTGGTTGTTTTGTGTCTCATTTTTGTCATTTGGAGTCTTTTTCCTGCTGGTTCTGCATCTCTTTGGTGGTTTTCTGTCTCTGTGGTTTCTCTTGCATCCCTTTGTGTCTGGTTTTGGTAGTTTTTGTCTCTTTGCGGTCAAACCTACTCACAAGCTAAACAGCTGCAAATCAGAGAGTGTGTGTGTTGTGTCTTTGTTGTGTGTTTGCTGTGTGAGACCTCGTCGATTGCCTTCTGCTCGCAGGGGAAGGAGAAGGTGAAGCCCAGAGGAAGAGTTTGTCCCTTCAGGTCCCGAGACTTGAGGAATTTACTGAGATGTTCGGCAATGTAGTCGAACAGCTGGACGGACACACAGACAGATGTTCTTTAGCTTCTCTCTGGAAATGTGCTGTTCAGACTAATTCATGCTTTTTTTTCTGCATAGTTACAAATTCTGCTTTTTTAAGCAGCAAATGTTCACTATTTCAAAATGTGAGATTTTTCCAGATTGTTGAGGTTGAGCCAAAACAAAATACTAAAAAGTGTCACTTTGGGCTGAATTTGATGCTTTTTTCTTCCTTCCCATCACACTGTTGTACTCGTGGACTGTCTCACTATTTGTTGGTGTCGTGTGTGTCACCTGTTCTCCGGGTCCCAGCATGATCTTCTGCGGGATGCTGCAGGTCTTACTGTCCATCATCAGAACTTCCCGCTTCTCCTTCACCACACGGACGTGAAAAACCCGTAAGTTCGTCCCGCCGAGATCCAACGCCAGATAGTCGCCTTCTTCTGCAGTGAAGAGCAACCGAGCAGATGATGGAGCGAAGTGACTATTAAAGCATTCATATCAGTGCAGTGCATGACAAATCATGATGAAGCTGCTTGTTGTGGTGTTTTTATGCACTAGCACTCTGTTAGTGTCTTTTGTTACAGTCTCGTCTTTGACTTTCAATTCAAGCGTCTTTTCAGGAGAAGTTTTTATTTTTTTTTAATTTTCTTTTTGGCTTTTGTCTTGATTAATCAGAGCAGTGGAGAGAGACAGGAAGGGGGGAGAAGAACGGGGAGAGACCTGCAGCAAATGAAATCATCATTTCGTGAAAATCAGGGCAAACAGATTGTTTTAATCTATGCTGAGGTGAAAATGTGACAGCGTTTATTGAACAAGTATGAAACTGTGGAATCATTTGCTTATTAATCCAGAAAATGTGCTTAAATAGAAAGTTTTACTTCTGGCTACAGAGCTTTACCAACATATATTCAGATTAGACTCAAGACGACGTTCTGCAGAGAACAGGATTCCTTCTTCTGGCAGATTTAAAAACATCCAGCAGTTAAATTAACTGTGTTCAATGAGTGCTTACGTTAAAATTCCAACTAATTCTTCTGATGGAGCTGCAAGTAACAGATGAGCAGTCTGAGGACCACTGGAGGTGAACATCTGCACTTTGTTTTTACCTTTTCTGGCTCTGATAGATGGTGTCATTTTGGTGATTTCTTGAAGATAACTTGCCAGAGGGTTGAAGGTTTCATGTTTTACTTCCAGCAAGCTCAGGGCAGGACATAGTTTATATACTTAATATGCAAATAGTGTTTCTTTACTTTAACTAGTTTGGTGAAGGAAGTAAACTCACCCGTCCCGTCCGGCGTGGCCCTGATGAAGGTGGGCAGCATCTTGACAGGAGGCTCAGGATGCAAATTATCCAAACCTCGGATCAGATCGTTCGTCAGCTGGTCGGAAACTTCCTCCAGCTTCTCCCGAGAGAGACAGAAACACTCCAGGCGCTGCACGATATTCTTCACCTGCACAGAGCCACAAGGAACATGGCTAAAATTGTGAATGTGTTGTTTTCTCCTTAGCAAAAACACACATTCACAGGAGTGCATGCAGTCTGGATAAAAACGATCATGTGGTTGCAGGTTATGGAAATAAAGAAGCTGTGATCTCTGGTTTCACCACCAGATGGCAGCATTTCATCACAATCTGCTGCACTGAAGAAGTTCAAAATGAAAACCATCCATCCATCCTCTCTACACCTTAATCCTCACTAGGGTCGTGGGGGGCTGGAGTCTATCCCAGCTGACTCAGGGTGAAGGCAAGTTCACCTGGACAGGTAACCAGTCTATCACAGGGCTACACTTAGAGACAGACAACCAAGCACACTCACATTCACACCTA